GCGGCGCCCCGAATTGCTCCCCGCGTCGAAAGCGTCGCGCATAGGGGTGGTCGTACTCCTCTGTCTCGCAGTGGAGGAGGGACGCCGGGACTGGGAGCCGTAGAAGAACACATACTGCATTCATAGTTTGATCATCGCTACATTTCGAAAGTTACTTTACATCGCGATGCCACCCTACCCTAAACTAGCCAAAACCGGAGCTCACGGGAGCTCTCTGGGTGCCGCGGCGACACTCACTCGTCGTCGTTGGAGGAGAAAAAATTGATGTAGATCTTGTCTTGCTCCTCGGCTTCACGGCGCCATCCCGCTTGCTTGGTGTCGAACTCGCGCGCGGCGGCGAGCGCCTGCTTGTAGAGGAGGTCACCGAGCTCCTCGTCCCGCCGACGCTCGTCCTCCTGCTCCTACTCACGCGCAATGCGCTCGGTGAGCGCTGCTTCGAAGGCATCCACGTTGGGCCCAACGCGGTAGTCCCCCGAGCCGATGACGCCACGACCGCGTGGGCGCTCCTCCCCCGGCTCCCTCTTAACGGCGCAGAGCAGAGGAAGCTCGCTGGGCTCCCTCTTCACTAGAAGTAGCGGCGCACCCGAAGTGCTCCCCGTGCCGGAAGAGCTTCTTGTAAGTGCATCTAGTGCCACCCCTAGTTGGTTTTGGAGTATTGACGACAAACTTAGTTGAGGGACTAATGTGTTTGTGAAAATTGCAGGATAACACATGTAGTAGTTCCTCATCGATTCGGTTTACCTACCAGAGATGACCCCCAAAAATGTGTGAAGACATTGAAGACAATGGTGGTTCACGAAAAAATTCACATTGAAGACTATGACATGAGAAGACATCGTATGAAGACTATGGAGTATGAAGACATAGTTGTTTTGTAGTTTCCTTTCTTCTTTGTTGAGTCATAGGAACCACTGCACTGTTAAGTGGGGTCCAAGTGAACGAAGTCAGAGTGACTGATGTGATGCTCAACCAAATCCTATGTCTTCGAGCGAAGACAATGAGAGCAAATCCTATCCAGAGCTGGATGAGTCAGCTTTACTTGTAGCCCAAGTCAAGTTGCCGCATGTGTTTAAAATCTGACCGTTGGACACGTGTCAGTTCCTTAGTGATCCAGGGTCATTTCGGACAAATCAGGTCGGGTTGCCTCCTGGCTATAAATAGCCCACCCCCTACACCATAAATTGGTGGCTGCTCAGAGTTAGTACACGGCTTTTGTCGTTTGAGAACAACCCACCCCCGAAGCATTTGAGAGAGAGATCCTTGCGAGGATAAAACCCAAAACACCCAGAACCAAAGAGTGTTAGGCATCACTGAAGTCTTTCTGTCTGCGTGACCTGAAGACTTGTTACACTTGAGGACTGTGAATCCTCCAGCCGGTTAGGCGTCGCGTTCTGAGCATACAAGAGTCATTGTGGATTGCCGGTGAATGAAGTCTGTGAAGGTTTGGAAGTCTACCTTGGAGACTTACTAGAGTGATTGGACGAGGACTGTGTGTCCTTAGCTCAAGAGGAATAAGGTGAAGACACGGTCTTCTGAGTTGAATCTCAGCCTCCCTAACCAGACGTACAGTTGTCACAATAACTGGAACTGATTTACCAAATCCTTGTCTTCATCAAGCTACTGGTTCTATCCTCCACCTCCTTTTACTTTACAGTTTGTCTTCGTGAAGTCATTGCATGACTGTATAATCTGATTGACTTTACTAAGTGAAGACTCTTTACTGTTTTGTTTCATACTATCTTCCATCCCGATCCATACTATCTAGCTGCTAATAGTCTTCGTGTTTTCACTTCATTGCTTACTTGACTATGACTTGTCTAGTGTAGTCTAATTTCCGCCGCATATCAATATGTTCATTTATATCGTTTGTCTTCAAAGCCTCCGTGTTTTGAAGGCTATTTATAAAAATCGCCTATTCAGCCCCCCTCTAGTCGATAACTAGCACTTTCACTCCCCGCGTCGAAAGCGTCGCGCATAGCGGCGATCGTACTCCTCCGTCTCGCGGTGGAGGAGGGATGCCGGGGCCGAGAGCCCATACTTGGTGTACCGTTTGGCCGAGCGCTTGTGTGCCGCGTCGGCGGTGACGCAACGCTTGCGCTCCGGGTCTTCGTCGCCACCGCGCTGGCCTGAGCTCCACATAGTTGCAGATCGGTGGGCGGGGGTTGCGAATTTAGCTCACCGGCGGTGAAAAATCGAAAAGGGGATTGGGAAATCACGGCGGCGAGGGGATAGGGTTTCGCCCCGTATACTCGCCGCAATCCCGTAGATATACCGCGGGGGAGGGGGTAGGGTTGCGGGCCACCGTAAGATCATTTACGGGCCGGGCGACTATAATAAAAGCCAAAAGGGGGCCAAACTCGTCATCGGATCTCTACTCCTAATGGAGCAGTTGGTAGTCTCGCTTCCAGGTTTTTTTTCGTCCCACCACTTTCGTCTGGTTTTTTTTCGTAGGTTAACCGTCGTAGATTTTTTTCGATGCTGCTTTCTTATTCACCGGTTTATTTACCCATCAGCTCTTTCCTTGCAGATCAGCACTTTCCAAACGTGCACATAATCACGGATCTAAATTTACTAACTTATCCAAATCAACCGATACCTTCCATTATTGCAAATTTCTTTAGGAAACAAATAATAGATTTTAAGGAAACAAATAAAAGATTTTAAAGACGCATCATACTTTACTAACAATCACTAAAAATCAAATCTAAATTAATTAACCTTACCTTAAATCACTCAATCACTTTAATTAGAAAACATTTTCTTTCCTAACTGCAGTTGGTAGTCTCGCTTCCAGGTTTTTTTTCGTCCAACCACTTTCGTCCGGTTTTTTTCGTAGGTTAACCGTCGTAGATTTTTTTCGATGCTGGTTTCTTATTCACCGGTTTATTTACCCCTCAGCTCTTTACTTGCAAATCAGCACTTTCCAAACATGCACGCAATCACGGATTTAAATTTACTAACTTATTCAAATCAACCGATACCTTCCATTATTGCAAATTTCTTTAGGAAACAAATAATATATTTTAAGGAAACAAATAAAAGATTTTAAAGACGCATCATACTTTACTAACAATCACTAAAAATCAAATCTAAATTAATTAACCTTACCTTAAATCACTCAATCACTTTAATTAGAAAACATTTTCTTTCCTAACTGCACCCCGCTTAGTGTGCACATAACAATCCGAAGTAATTAGAGTCACATGATTGAATCCATTTATTTAGAGTGACATGATTGAATTCATTTATTAACAATAATCCTCATCAAAAGTGTGTTTAGCAATTTTAGAGGGCGGACCAAAACTCTGTCATCCGCTCGCCCGCGTTTGTTTAGGTACAGGAAAAAATGGCATAATATATGGAAACAACACGACCGGGGAGGCGGCGCAATCTTCGGGGATAGGGGATCGGAGGAGAAGCATTGGCCTGGCAGCATGATCGGGGTGCTTCCCCACGGCCGCGGCCGTCCTCGCGATGCCACCTACCCGAAATCAACGCTGCTCCTTGTCGTCAGCCGAGGCGACGCCGCCTGCCCTCCTACCCACGGTCCGCATCCGCGTTCAGCTACGGCGGGAGGAGAAGCGACGGGGCCGAGGTCCTTCATGTGTTCCGGGATGGAGGCCATGATTTCGTCGAGGTCGTTGCTGCCTCCTACACTCAGGGTGTGTCGCCGAGATCGAGGCGAGCATGAGGAGCTGTGGCCACCGCCATGGTCACCCCATCGCAGGGGATGGAGCACGCCATCGGCCTACAGCTTGTGGAGATCACTGTTGCTCTTCAGGTCGCGTGGTGACCGGATCTTGCCGATGTGTCCCTCCCCAACGACCTCCTCTTCGCCCGGTTGGCCGGCATGGATCTCGCCACTGCTGCCCTCAACTTCTCTGCCTCGAGCTCGACGGTCAGCCACCATGGATCCCCCAGCTGGAGGGTCACGTGAACCAGCCGTCCTCCCATGCTGCAGCGGTGAGAAGGTGAATATGGCTCTCCGTACACGAAGAGTGGAGTTCAGTCAAGTACTTATATACTTGGCCTCTACTGCTGATCCATGTACATGGAGAAAAACAGACAACCGCTCATTCATGCTTCGTTCCACTCCTTTGCGCTACATTACTGGAGGTGACATTTTCCTATCTCTCTATGTTGTAACAAGCCTGCTGCCTGCATAGTTAATGGATTTTTTATTTAAATTTATCGCTGCTTAGTGCTTTGTTGCAATTGTTCACCCAAGATTCTTATATATAATCTGAGCGTATGTAGGCATACTTAGCTTTGCTATTCCATTTTTTCTGGCGCATAGAAATAAGAGTATTGTCCAGGTTAGGTATTCAATTGAGTATGGTATTTGGATTGCTATCAGAATGTCTTTTCTATGCATGTGATTTCTCACATCTGGTTATAATATTTGTGAAGACGTGCATTGCACGTGCACTTGGAAGCGGGCCCGTGGCCCGCGCTGGACGGCGCCGACGCCGACCCGAGCCACCTCGTCTGCGTATTCTTGGAGCTGTAGCTGGTCGATTTACATGAAATTAATTCCCCCAGTTCTGGTGGCAAATATAATACACATAATCCATATTGTTATGCACTAGCGTGTATGTGTGAAATAGATGGATTATGGTCCCGTACCCAATAAGATAGATATGCGTGTGTGTTAGAGAGAGAGGGAGAGGGGGATAGAGAGTAAGGAAGAGGGAGGAAGAGTGTGTGTCTGTGTGTGTGAGAATATGATGGTAAAAAAGATCGTAAATGTCGTAATATTGAACTTTTAAAATTAATGTGACCCGTTGCAACTCGCACAGGCGTTCTTCTAGTTTTTACAGTTTACCTCTAACGCACAAAACTTCACGCATATTCCACACCGTAGCACCCTACCAGCGAAAACCCCGTTCCCAAACGAACCGGAGATTAAAACCCCATCGCGATCTGGTGCGGTGGCCTCTCCCGTCGCCACCTCCGGCCGCGACTCGACCGCCGCCGCGCACCCACTCCCGCTCCCCACGATGCGGCACCTCCTCCTCTCCCGTCTCCTCCGCCGCGCCTCCTCCCCCTCCCAGCCTCACCACAACCTCCAACTCATCCGTGCTCTCTCCTCCTCCTCCCCTCTCCCGGCCTCCGACACCGACCTCCGCAAGTACGCCGGCTACGCGCTCCTCGTCCTCGGCTGCGGCGCCGCCACCTACTACTCCTTCCCCTTCCCACCCGACGCGCTCCACAAGAAGGCCGTCCCCTTCAAGTACGCGCCCCTCCCCGACGACCTCCACACCGTCTCCAACTGGAGCGGCACTCACGAGGTCCACACCCGCGTCCTCCTCCAGCCCGACTCCATCCCGGCGCTCGAGGATGCCCTCGCCACAGCCCACAGGGAGCGACGCAGGCTCAGGCCCCTCGGCTCCGGGCTGTCCCCCAATGGCCTCGGGCTCTCCCGGGCCGGCATGGTCAACCTTGCGCTCATGGACAAGGTGCTAGACGTCGATGTCAAGAAGAAGACCGTCACGGTGCAGGCTGGGATACGTGTCGCCGAGCTCGTCGATGCGCTCAGCAAGCATGGGCTCACACTGCAGAACTTTGCCTCCATTCGAGAGCAGCAGGTCGGCGGCATCATTCAGGTCTGTTCAGTTGGGGAAAGCCATTCCCTCCATACATGCGATGAGCTCTATTAGTGAATTTTGATATTACAATGAAAATCATCAAAATCACTTAGCACAAATTTGGTTGAAGATGCTCTATGGCATGCTTCACATTTGCAACACTGCAAGAGTTACTGTTATATTCACATACAAGCAAGAAAGCATCGTCTCATAGACTGTTGCATGGATTCAAACACACTTAATGTAGAACTAATCTATTGATCTAGACATCAATGTTTGACAAAACTTTTGCATGTATTGTACTGGTAGATTCGGCTCATATCCTTGCACCTACTAATATATGGGCTAGATGGGCCTTTTTAGTTCACAGACAAATCAATTGGCAGAAAATGGTTAATAAGACTCCAGGCTATCTTTGCTCGAGTCTTACCATTTAATTAGGTCTTTCTTTTTTATAGTTCTCACTAAAATATTCTCTAATGCAACCTCCATCCCAAATTACTTGTCTTAAATTTATCTAGATACGGATGTATCTAACACTAAAATGTGTTTAGATACATCCGTATCTAGACAAATCTACAGCAACAACAACCTTTAGTCCCAAAGAAGTTGGGGTAGGCTAGAGCTGAAACCCATAAGAATCTCATAACCAACTCATGGTTCTGGCACATGGATAGCAAGCTTCCATGCACCCCTGTCCATGGCTAGTTCTTTGTTGATACTCCTCAGATCTCTCTTTACGGACTCCTCCCATGTCAAGTTCGGTATCTAGACAAATCTAAGACAAATAATTTGGGATGGAGGGAGTACTTGAGATTTGAGAGGATATAATTTATTTGCTTTTCTTCATAATGTATACTTTCTGAGCATATTATTTCTTTTATATTTAATTGCACATGGCTATGTTTACCATCTGCAGATGTTTTTAATGTTCTTTTATATTTAATTGAAGATTGAAAACTGCTTTGACTAATATTGCCCTTTTTTGGAGGAACAAGCATTTGCTCAAAGGAGCTGCGAATAGGATATTAGTTATGGTTATGGATAATCCTCAACTCCTTCTGTACACGCACTATGCAAGGAGTTGTATCGCTGATATTTGGTAGTATTATAATGAAAATTGGAAAATCATTTGGCACAAATTTGATTGAAGATATTTGATGAAATGCTTCCCATTGGCAACACTGCATTAGTTACTGTTTTATTCGCATAAAAGCTAGAAAGCATCGCCTCATAGCCTGTTGCAGGAGTTCAAACGTGCTTAATGTGGCGACAGATGAGGGTTCCAGAGAGTGGCAAAACTTTCATGTTAATTTTACTAGGAGATTCAGTTCATGTCCTTGGACATACTACTAACAGAAGGGCTAGAGCGGTCTTTCTAGTTCAGACACATCAATCAGCAGAAAACGGTTAACAGAAAGACCGAAGGTTATCTTCGGTCGAGTCTTATCATCCGGGTCTTCCGTTTTTAGATTTCTTACCCAGAAGTTCTCCAAAACTTGAGGTTTGCTAAGAAGATAGACTTAATTTGCTTTTCATAAGGGGGGATTCTCTAAGCTTTGTCTTTGTTATATATTCATTGCACATGCTTACTATTTTTTTACCAGCTACAAATGTTTTTGACATTCTTTGTAACATGGAATTCCACGTGTTTCTACTGAAAAGAACCTCTTTCGTAGTATTGCCCATTTTTTGTGAGAGAGAGATAAGTATATTTGCTGAAAGGAGCAATGAGTAGAATGTTTACTCCCTCCGTTTCAAATTACTCGTCGTGGTTTTAGTTCAAATTTGAACTAAAACCACGACGAGTAATTTGGAACGGAGGGAGTAGTTATGAACAGTTCTTATGGCATCAAAGTAACTATGTACTGCCATTTGTTTTCACTGTGTATAGTAGCTTTTATGCGTGCTAACTGCTTATCTTCTGAATATGTACGCCCAACTTTACTCGCCCTACTGCTTGAGGGATCTAATTGCTTTATTGGTATTGCTCTACAACTTGTGTGAATGAAGCTTAATGTCCACTAATTTCAGTTTGGACATGATATGAATATGCGTAACTAATTTCAAATGTTAAATTCTTGATTGCCTACAGGTTGGTGCCCATGGTACTGGTGCGAGATTGCCTCCAATTGATGAGCAGGTTATTAGCATGAAACTGGTTACTCCTGCCAAAGGGACGATAGAGTTATCAAGGGAGAAAAATCCTGATTTATTTTATCTTGCCCGCTGTGGACTTGGTGGCCTAGGAGTCGTTGCAGAAGTTACTCTTCAGTGTGTAGAAAGACACCAACTTGTTGAGCATACTTTTGTTTCTAATGCAGATGAAATCAAGAAAAACCACCAGTAATGCTACACATCTCAGTTGCTTAGTCTGTATACAGTTTTAGTATCTTTTACCAGAGGAATGTCTAACTTCCTTGCTTTCATGCCCTTTTCAGGAATTGGCTTTCTGAAAACAAACATATCAAATACTTGTGGATTCCATATACTGATACAGTTGTCGTTGTCCAATGTAATCCTCCTTCAAGATGGAAAACTCCAAAGTTGGCATCAAAATATGTAAAGGATGAAGCCCTACAGCATGTTCGTGACCTTTACCGAGAGTCATTGAAGAAATATAGGTGCGAACACTTGGCGTGGTTCGATATATAAATTGCACTGCTTCCTTGATTTTCTGTATGGAAACTTCATCATAACTCTTTCTAGGTTAACCTGAGAGCACATTACAAGTACTCTTGCACTTTTACAGTGTGTGCACTTGATACTAACAAACTTCACTTAGATTTTCTACACTTATGCAGATATTCTTTTGTATCTGATTACCTGAATGAATCAGCTAAATATTCCCTTGGTTAGAAACTGAAATGGTAGGGAGCAAGTGATTTTACTCTGGCTACCAACTGGCCATGGTGCTTTTAGCTTGCTCTTACATGTTTTAGTCTGAATTTGACCTTTCCAGCTTGAGACTTTGTTGTGGCTCGTACAGAAAGGCATGGGGGGCCGTGATGTTTGTAGGAAGAGTCGCATATGCCATAAGTTATACAAGAAGTGTCAGGTTGAACCTTTTTGTCTGCTTGTTAGGCATTCAGTTGTGCTACCTTGAAATGATAGACAAATTGAAGGTGTATGCAGCCAAGTAAAATACTGAATATATGTTAGAACCACTTGTAGCTTTACTCAAAGGAGTTAATTTTGAATTTATTTGCACTAAAATTCTAGCTTTACTCAGGAATAGCGGATTTTTGTTTTGTTTTGGTTTCTAGCTTATGCCACCTTATAGATGTTTTCCAGAACTGAAGCCGACAGTAAAGACCCAGCGATAGATCAACTTTCATTTACTGAATTGAGGGATCAATTGCTCGCCCTTGATCCTCTGGATAAAGATCATGTGATCAGAATTAATAAAGCAGAAGCTGAGTATTGGAAGAAGTCTGAGGGATATCGCATGTGCTGGAGTGATGAAATACTAGGTTTTGATTGTGGTGGGCAGCAGTGGGTTTCTGAAACCTGCTTCCCTACAGGAACTCTAGCGAAGCCAAACATGAAGGATTTATATTATATGGAGGAGTTGCTACAGTTGATTGAGGAGGAGGATATACCTGCACCTGCACCTATTGAGCAGCGTTGGACTGCCCACAGCAGGAGCCCCATGAGTCCGGCATCAAGCTCTGAAGAAGATGACATATTTTCATGGGTAACTTGTTCTTCTGCCACATTTTGTTGTTGTGTTAATTAATGTTGCTGTGAGTTACAAAAGTTCTAAAGTTATACCGGTTTCACAGGAGGGCATGTTCTATTTCCATGCAATAATTTAAGATTCAACTCAGTTCAGATTTGCAAGATATCAAAAAGGCAAATGCTTACCGAGTTACTGAACAATAACACTGTCACAGTTCCAGAAGTATTTTTCTCTTATTGACCCAAATGAGATTTGGGTTTATCTTAATTTTGTGTAGAAATGTAGAACATGTTCTATTCTTATTTGGTATTTCCTACGATCCAAAATAAGTGTCGCAGTTTTGAACTAAGATTGAACTAACCGTAGTTCAAAACTGCGACACTTATTATGGATCGGAGAGAGTAATTCTTTTAGGATATTTTAAACTTTAGAGGACATTTCCCCTGTATAACTCACTTCAAACTGTGATATTTGATAATTATTTTACAAGCCGATGAAAAACTTTGCTATTCTCAACATTTTGTCATTTGTACTTCATAGATACCACAGAAATCAGTATGTATAGGTGTCAGTATTGGTAATAAATTAACAACAGTCATGGAAGAACTTTGGTTCATGCTACTTTGTCGAATACATAGAAAATTTTGTAGATGAATCTGGCAAAACTCATTTGTTAACCATGACACAAGGTTTTATGCAGTTTTTACCATGTTTCAACTTTTAGTTAACTACTTTCTTTGTTAGTCCTCTTAAAATACTTACTGTGGTAATGTAATGCAGGTTGGTATAATAATGTATTTACCAACATCGGATCCTCGCCAAAGGAAGGATATTACCGAGGAGTTCTTCAACTACAGAAGTCTGACGCAAACTAGTCTCTGGGATGATTATTCTGCATATGAACACTGGGCTAAAATTGAGGTAACAACTTTAACTATCACCTGCAAGATTCATGCACCCACTACCGTTTGGTGTTTGTTAGTAAGCATTGCTGCAGACGTGGTGGAAGATTAGCATCATACCTGTTCATTTCAAGAGAATCATCTCTTCTCTTGCAGGCATAGCAGTGGCCTGCTAAACTGTCTTGAAAGCATTATTGACAAAATGGTTTGCTTCCTAACGAATTCTCTGATTCTTTTCAGGTTCCGAAGGACAAGGATGAACTTGCTCAACTGCAGGCTAGGTTGCGGAAACGCTTCCCCGTTGACGCATATAACAAGGCGCGCATGGAGCTGGACCCTAACAAGGTTCTCTCCAGTGCCAAGCTAGAGAAGTTTTTCCCAGGAATGCAGACTGTCCAACATGCAAGGTAAAGGTGTCCTGATTGATGGCATGCTCAAGGCACAGAGCTTTATCATAATGTGTATCCTTTTTTTTGCCCTCTGGAGAAATGTACTCTTCCAAGAGTTGGATTCTGTCGTTGATAGTTGGATCAAAAGTCAAAACTATCATGCTGATGTGCTGGTGGTTTACATGATTATAGACGCGGGCTTCCGAGTTAATTTCTTTGTAGAACTTGCTTGGTTGGTAGAGCCGTAGAGGTAGTTTTTTTAGCGATCTCAGGTTAAGCGCTTGTTGGAGGAGGATGTCTTTGGTTCATGACTAAACAATCTATGCTTATCTATGGTACTATATATCATCCTCTGTTGAAATAAATTCTGGGGAAGAAGAACAAATTGATTCAGTTCAATGTGCAGCTGGAGAATTTCTTTTTAAACCAAAATTTTAACAAATCATCGTGTTGTGATTGCGCAATCGTACTGAGCCAGTATGGTTGGCTGCGTTTGGCGCTGCGGTGGATTTTCGTAATCTTGTCCTATTTTAGTGTTTGCTTGATCTACTTTGCTCATTTCCCCCCTGAAATTTTAGATTATAAAATAAGCACAACAGATTCTACAAGTACAAACTGAGCCATGAAGTTGCTTTACTAGAAAAACAATCTTGGCGACTACTCTAGAATCCTAGACTCTTTGTGTGCAAAAGTTCTTACCCAGATGGAGATATACTCAATACAGGCCCTAAGAAGGGCTCTTCTTTTACATGGCAAAGTATTGTTGTGGGCATACAAACGTTCAAAAGGGGATGCATTTGGAGGGTGGGCATTGGCTCACAGATTAACATCTGTCCAACTAGTGAATCTAGGAAGGTCATCACACCAAGAGGAACAACTATGTTGGGGAAAGTGGGAGAATTGATTGATCCGCACACTGCCCAATGGGATGAAGCTCCTATACGTTCTGTGTTCTCACCCGTCGATGTTCACAAAATATTACAAATACCACTTTGGGTGGAAGTGATGGATGATTTTGTAGCTTGGCATCACACTCGTTTTGGTACTTTCTCACTACGATCAGCATATTATGTTGAATTTGAACACCAATTTGGACACCATTGGAACCGCAGTAATGGACCAGGTAGTCACCAAGAATGTGACTCGTGGAAAAAATTTTTGGAGCCTTAAGATATCGGGGAAGGTAAAACACTTTGTGTGGAAAGTGCTTCGCGGGGTATTACCGTGTCTAGGAACACTAGTTGGTAGACATATCCCAACTTCTGCACAATGCCCAAACTGTCGTATTGGGTTTGAAGATTCGCAGCGCTGCCTATTCACATGCAAGCGAGCGTTGAAAGTCTGGATCCAACTAGGGCTGAAGGAGGAAATACTTAAAGCAGTTGGGGAAGACCGATCTGGTGCTATGACCATGGATATTCGGATGAGGGGGCGATCCCCTATTGGGGAGCTTCCTATGGCGGAACTAATTACGGTGGCGAGTTGGTACATCTGGTGGCAGCAGCGTCAGTTCGTTAAAGGAGAGGAAATCAGGCCACCGGAGTGTACTGCAGTACTCCCTCCGTCCATGAATAAGTGTACTTCTAACTTTTGTCTGAAGTCAAAGTTTTAAAACTTTAATCAACTTTATAGGGAAAAGTAGCAGCATTTATGACACTAAATTAATATCACTAGATTCGTTTTGAATTGTAATTTCATAATATATCAATTTTATGTCATATATGTTACTACTCTTTTGTATATATTTGGTCAAAATTTTAAAACTTTGACTTAGAACAAAGGCTAGAAGTATACTTATTCGCGGACGGAGGGAGTATCTATCAAGGTGGTAGCAACAAACTTTGTCTACGCATATACTCCAAATCGACCGGTTCAAAAGCATGATCACATGTGGAGAAAACCAAGTAAAGGAACTATTAAAATTAATGTAGATGCTTCATTCTGTGTTGAGACTATGACTGGAGCTACAGAGCAATAGCTCGAGATGACCATGGGCAGTTTGTAGCTGCACCCGTGTGGTTTATAACGCATGTCATAAGTGCAGAAGCGGCAGAGATGGTAGCAACCCAAAATGGATTTTACTTGGTCGGAAACATTGGCTGCAATTTGGTGACAGTGGGAGCATATAGCTCGAACGTTGTTGAAGCACTCACTCAAGATGTATATTTAGGCCCGGATGCAGTTGTATTTTCTGGATGTAAAGCTCTTGTTGCAGGCTTAACAAAGGTGGACGTAACCCATTGCTTCCGCGAAACCAACAATGTAGCAAATAGCTTAGCAAAATACTCCCTTAGTAATAGATCGTCTGAGGTTTGGGATAGCTCAATTCTGGACTTTATTTCTCATCTCATTGTACATGATCTCTCTATTATCTAAGGAATAAAGTTCTTTACCCGTAAAAAAACTGAGCCATAAAGTTTTTTTTAACACGTCACGTTGGGGGGGGGGGGGTGTGGGGAGGAATCCCCACATGAATATTGATCTCTATTCAAAGAAAATGATCCGGTTCACGAGAGATCCAGATTGAAAACTGTGATGTGGCTTATAAGGAAGACCAGATCGAAAATCTTGATCTAGTTTACAAGGAAAACCATACAGGCCGAGGGGCAAAGACACGAGAAATCTTCGTGATAGCGCACGGGCATCAACAACATCAAAACCACTGACAATGCGACGGATCTTCAACCCTATAGATATTCGCAACACCACACACTTGCGCATGTTGCCCGCCGATCACGAAGTGGTTTTGCAATCTCTCAATTCCCAGTGGAACGACATATAGCAATTGACTTACAGTAGTAAAGGTCCATATCGATGCAAACTTGGAGGGGGTAAATACTCATGACGATGCAAAGAGGAATATGTTGAATTTAGATGAATGCTTGTAGTAATTCGTTCTGGTTTAGGGTTTATTTCAAATGTGACCCCCCTTAAAGTCATGACTTACAAGGGTATATAAAGACACATTTAGGTCCAACCTAAGGTTGGAGGTCAAAAACAAGCATTTCCCTAACTTTTCTATAAAAGACTATTTGGAAACTCGCAGAAACAACCGCCATATTGTTTTGAGGATATCGACTCGATCACTGCGAGTCAGGGCCCGGGAGTATATAGTTTGGAAAGCACACGGAACCAGCACTCCAACCTGTATTTACTTGCTTTATTTGAAGTGTGTATGTGAATTTTGCACCTATTTCAGTATCGGACCTCCTAGTTGTTAATTCGAAGCTGAAAGGGGATATCTTGTTTCCATCTTTTGTTCTCTTTATTTGGTGACCATAATCTCGTCTCCAATTGTATTGCATGTGCCTCCCTCTCCTCCCTCACGCACTTGCTAACATCGGAAATCAGTGGGTGTTCTTCTTGCTGCAATTCTTCATCTTCACATGCCAAGCTTGTCTCCTCTTCAAATTTGATCATAAATAAATGCAAACACTTAGGCATTATAAAATTCTAATTAACAAAAATACCATATTCAACTAAGAGTGAATTCACCTATTGTTCTAGTAGCTTTGCACATGGTCTTGGAATTGGTCCCATTTTGGTTTCATTGGACTTGTCTTGTGCAACAACATTATCAATGGAAAAGGATGGTAAAGGACCAGGGATGTCCTCCTCATCCTCCGCCCTAGAAAGGCGTCGACCTCGATGTGCCAAGGTCTTCTTTGTCATATGGCCTTAAATCAGCAACGTTGTGCGATCCAAGACCCCCTGGAACACCCGATCCATCGACGTCTGAGCCCAGTGTCACCGCCGTTGACTTCTCCAGCAAGATTCCGACGACTTAGCCCCAGTGAGGACCCCCTGTGTTTAATCTCCATCGCAGGATCATGATCGCACACGCATAATTAGATCATAAAATGAATTGGTCTCAGTGAATCAGAGCTCGCCACGTCACAACCTTATCTACAGAAAAACCGTTTAATTAAATTAAAATAGATTTTTTGCAGAAAAGCCCCTCAACTTAAAACACTCGTAACTAATTATCTACAAGTCCAAATAAGATGATTCTTTTTGAAAAGTGACCCTTATGAAATGTACTTTCACCTGGAACATAAATATTTCACTTTTGAATAATTTAAAATTCAAATTCAAAGAGAATGAATTTGAATTCAAAAAGGGCATAACTTGCAAAAAATAAATCCAAATAAATTGTTTCCTTTTGCAAAATGAACATAGGGACATATATTTTCAACTCAAGGCAGTCTGGTACAAATTTGAATAATTTTAAAATATATTTATAACAGAATACAATAGAGGTCAGAATTCAAATAGAAATTAAACTCAAATTGGTTTAAATTGAATTAGAAATTGTTTAAGAAACAATTATTTTGCAACTAGTTCAGGAACTTAAAATTAACTTTAGTAAATATTTTTGGATTATTATTTTTTATTTTAGGAACTTCGACTAACATCTCTATTAAAATTAAAACATAGTTTGATTATTATTTGAAACCCTAGGTTAATTTAAGTAAAACTAATGAAATTGGTTTAAGGAATTCAATTAAACCTAGAAATTATCTTTCGAGTTAATAGTTAACTTTAGAACTCATATAAAGTTGAAAACTATTTGCACATAGTAAAACACTTTGGAATCATATTTGACTTTAGTTCAAATTAAAGAAATAAATTTAGTCATAATGTGGGATTTATTTTTGACTTTAGTATAACTAAGATCAAATAAAAAAACTATAGTAATCATATTGGGTTTATATTTGACTTTAGTTGAATGTAATTTAATAAATAAACCCTAGAAACTATGTTGGATTTTACTTGACTTTAGGAGAACTAATTGTAATTGAGTTGAATTGAACAAACTAAGTAAACTATGAAATGATTCATAATTAAAAGTTAACTTAGTAGAACCAAATCAAATTGTGAACTCAATTCATATTAAATTCAAATGAGATGAACCCTAATTCTAATCCAAATTGAATTGGAAGCCAGACCAAGTTATCATTTTCAGACACTAGTGTATTCAAGCTTAGGAAAGGCCAGCAAGTTTGAATTGGAATTCAAACT